GATAGATGCGAGTGTGCATTTTACAGATAACTATTCAGATCGCCTTTAAATGCCCTGCAGTATTTTAAGTGAACGACGTCTACAGAGCTAAAATACATCCAAAGTATGTATTTGACGCTTTTATTAGCACACTATCTTGCAATTAAAGGTACGATTAATTCGTTAGCACTGTAATACGACTATAACAATTGAGTGTTAAGTCTTGTGGGAAGTCACGAATTTCCAAATATGTGTCTCTTGGCATCGAAAATAGATTACTAATTTAGTGGGTTTCATACAAGTTTCATGAAGGATCAAACAAGATCTTTAGAACTTAATATTTTAATACCTTCGCAGTTTTCTCGGTATTACCCTTGGTGCGATGCATTTACTCCAACCTCTGAAACCCATACGTGCGTGCACGATCTTCTGGTATGTTATGCAAAGTCCGCTGAATATTTAAAGGCAAGATAAAAGCTCCGTGAAGCTGCCCCCCCTTACAGACAGCACAAATGATATATCCAGCCTCATTCGTAAGTGCTACGTTTGTGCCGTTGAAAGTAGCGTTTGTGCTGCTTTCGTTCCCGAGATATAGCCCCTTGTTTTTCCGGTGATCACGTGACAATGCACGGTGACTTTGACCTCCAGTGACCCCATCTGCCGAGTTCAAGCGCTCTGTTACAATTTAGCTAAAATGTCTTTAACATTTAAAGACAATCAATATCCATAAATATATGAGCCTCCCTAGATGTGAATAATACTAAGACGTGACGCATGCCAACAAGTTAACCATCTATGCCATAAACCTGTGGTCGTAATGTATGTTCAATCACCGTGATTGTAAGATCTCTGTTTTTTCTTTCCCTACCGTGACACGCTGTTGCCAAACGTGTAACTGTGGGATATCATGGCGACAAGCCCTCCGCAGCATGTCATGATAGGGAACCCATGTATATCGCATGTATATCGCGGCAGTGTATATCACGACTGGCGCCTTGCTTCCATGCCACCCTGGTACCGCTGTTGCAACAAAGGTCTCATATCAGGACATGATATACCCAGACAGGACGTGTAGCGATATATGGACTTTGTGTCGCGACATGGGGTCAGCATATCCTGTCAGGGTATGTCCTATCACAACATATGGATGTCATGTCGCGACATGGGGGCGGGGCA